ATTATGTACTAAATAATGTATGAGTTTTAGTCTTGAATCAGGTGAGGCAATATTCAAATTTTAAATGAATTGGATTAATGGATTTCACTGAACTTTCATGTAACCAGGACAATTGTTTAATTTTAATCAGTTATTATTTAAATTCGTTTAACACTTTGGGGACGGCTGTCCACCTCAGTGGACAAACATACTCTGTGAGGCACAAGCTATTTTATAAACAATGACTCAGTTTGCATCAAAAAGTTGAATAAATTACATATAGCAGTGATAAACGGTATTGTATTTTGTTTTAAATTATTTTGGTAGTATTTTTAGCCTTTTTCTTTGCTATGTGGTCTTTTTTGTTAATATTTAAAACGACCGAGCGCTTTTAAATATGCCAAAACGACTAGTAAATTTTGTAAAATAAGCAGAAGTGAAGATGAGTTTCAAATAGACATTCATACAGACAAATTTTACGAAATTGCTATTCGCACCGATAATAGTTATAAATGTGATGATGATATTATCCAACTAACAAAAAGAAGTTTGACAAAATAAATGAAGAGCAGGAAGACATTAGCGAATGTGCCGATTCTCCTTCAATAATCGATTTTGGCATACATCAACAAACTCCCCGACTACAAATATCAAGCAATATAAGACATTCAATAGATTATTTTATGTTATATTTTATAAATGAATTATTAGACAATATATAAGAATAAATAAACCATTATGGCAGCAAAAAAATGACCAAATATACTGACTAATCAGTGGCATATTCTAAATACGAGTGAAAGAAAGAGGGATTGAATTGTCTGTTCTGACAGAAAAGCACCAGGAGGAAGGTGGCGAACAACATTTTATTGTAAACCATTGTCAAAATCAACCAGCTATGCATTTTGGGAATTGTTTTGAACGTCACCATTCTTTATAAAATGATCAAAAATTAATTAATAATAAAAATGTATGTCCTTCAATGACCACAAATTTTTATCAAACAAATTGCATAACATACACAATGAATTCAAATTTACAGCCGGTAAAGTAGATTGTTTTGAAATCGGTGCCGTCTCGAAAGTGTTAAAACTCGTATCTTATCTATATATCTCCATAATCTCTCTTAGGCCCAAGTTATTATGGTTCCAAAATATTTTAATAAATCATATTTTCATAAATGCACACATCTGATTCAAGCCTAAGTCTCCTTAATTCACTGCATTTTCTCCTTAATTTCTTTCAATTAATATTTTTCCTGTGTTACTGATTCTTTTATAATTCTATTAGAACGATGACAGCGATATGTTTCGTTTGCAACCTGCCCATCCTGAGTCACCAGGTTGGCCTGGTGTGGCAAGGAGGCAACGGCTGGGACGACCTTGTTCGAGAACAAGTAGAAGAATCCACTCTCAGGCAAAGGCTAGGCGGAGGCAGGAGGGACTCTTCCGCCCAGATTGATGCCATATCATCTCCTCCGACTGAGGTAAATGAGTCGATAATAATATTTTGTATAATTTAGGGACCGATTCTGCCGCACAACAGACCAATGTTATGGCAAGGCCATGTTACGCTCCAACTTCCATACATTATACTACTAAATCATACTGAATACTGTCAAAATGTTATGCATTTACTGTGCATGCAGGCGTTTTACACATAAACTGCAACGTCACTCGTGTGTTATGAAGCTGAGTCAGAAAGACCCTGTTATCTAACATCGTTTTTTTGACATTTGTGCGGTTAATAGGTTAGATTTCTATCTGGAAAACTGAGTAAAACGCTTGACTGCATATCAACCGTATGGCTTTTGTCAAATTCAGTATGGAAAGTGCGTTATATCATAGCTTCGTCATATTTGTCTGCTATGTGGTAGAATCAGTAAATAATCTTCAATTCTACTAAATATATTCCACATCTATCATTAGACTTAAATCACAGTAATTGGAAATATGTGAAAAATGCAATGATGAAATTCTCTATATTGCTCTTCAAAGATACTTCATATTTTATTCTGAACCTTAAATTCAAGCAAAATTATTAATTGCATTGTTATATAAACATAATGTGTTGATCTAATCAAAAACGAATATTTTTATTGTTGCTTTTAATAACCAAACCATAAAGAATTTCTCAATATTTAAAGAATATGGCATATTTATTTATCTTTTTATTTTATATATTTATTTACAACATTTTATTTAATTTTCATAATATTTATTCTGTGAGAACAATACTTTTCTGATAACGAAATCTAAATCCATAGAATCCCTGAAGATTCTATGAAAATAGTTTATTTTAGAAACAATTTATTGTTGTTTCGATAAATGTTTTAACCGGTATTTTTGATAAGTCATAAAATATCCTAAATATTTTTATTAAAAAAATTATTAATTATTAATAAATTATTTATATCGGTTATGCTTTCGCGATTTGTACATGTGTTTTTCAACATTTCAATAATAATCTGTTGTTGAAGTTTTGCAACAATATATTCAGTGAATATTACGTACTGAACGTGTTTATAATATTTGACATATTTCCTTACTTAAGTAAAATAATTAATTGATAAATAAGTTAAGTGTAATTGACAAGTATACTCGTCACGGAAAAGTGGAAGAATATTGTTACTTGACAAGTATATTCGTCATTCGTAAAATCTGTTGACCATTGCTATTTAATTAAAAAAAAATTATCTATTTATATATTTAAAAAAATATTCATTTACACATTAATTCACTTCTTTAAGAATTATGTTAATGTTTTCTGTATTAACGTTTACTTTGCATCTAAATAAAAAGTAAAAAATATACTTTGGGTGGCAAAAAAAGTCTAGAAAAAAAAGTCTAGAACAATATCTCCTTGCAATTATGTATATTTTTTTGATTATGTTACTTACTTGATTATTGTTGGTAACAGAATTTAGCATTTGCCATTCTAAAATTCAAGCAAATCATATCTGTATTTAAGTGACAAGTTAATCAAAAAGGCCTTATTCTAAAAATTTGTCATAACGCTGTTAAACATTTAAATTTTCTGTATTCGGTTTTATTAGCAAAAGAAGCCAGAAGAATAATGTTGTTTTGGGAAATTGAGTATGCCTACTTAAATTTTTTTAGATACTTTTACATTTGACTTATTGTAAAATTGATACAAATTAACCCTCTATGAGTACGCTTACGTTTTATGTCACCTTCTAAATTTTTCCATATTTTATCAAATAATAATGGCTTTTTTTGTTAAGTTTTAATTCTATAATGATGTAATAACACATAATATCAATACTGCTAATCTTTTCTAGGCTCTTCAATATAGAGTCATATAATTTATTAACACCAAACAAAAGTTTAAACTTTGTTGTTTTTCATATAATTTAGTCATATAATTTATTAACTCGAAAAAAAGTTTAAACTTTGTTGTTTTTCATATACAGGCATACATATGTAGGCTTATAATTACTGAATATTTAATTATGTAAAACATAAATTCGGTCCATAGAGAGTTAACTTATTTTACTACAATATAATTGGCCAAATGATAAATGTTATTTCAGGATATGCCTAAAATGCTATCAATCAATAATATTATTTTACTGTTGTAAAAATATATCTTAGTCTGATTTGAAAAAAAGAAAAAAAAGTACAAAAATTTATTAATTTGATATAATTTAATGCAAATAATTGGATTGTGTTTTTAGTAATCCAATTTTTGTTCACATTTGTCAATTTCTTATCAGGTGCGTGAAACATCGCCTCCGCGTGCCGTCGGTACAGGCACCTCCGGCGGCCGAAGACGCCGCAGCAGTTTGGCGCAGCTGACCGACATTCTACGAGAGTGGTCTGGTCCGAGCAGACATGGGAGCACGAAGGCGCCTCTATGTCGAAGGGAAACATTGGCTGATCTGGCCAGGAGTTTACCTTGGGGAAGGCAGCAGAGTGTTGCTGGAAGTAGGTAAGTGAAAATACAGTGAAACCTAGTTAAACAATTTCTCAGGAACTGGACCAAAAAGGACTGGTGTAAGCGTATAATGCGGTACAAGAAAAATAACATACCTAGTACTTATATTTATAAATTATTTTGCAATTCTAAGCCCAGCGGTGGCGCCATCGATTCGAAAGTGGGCTAGCACCAACTAGTCTCGGGTTCGTTGGTTCGATTCCCGCTACCGTGAAATCCCGACATCAGACAACTTTGATGTCCAAGATCCACTTGAGGTTATAGATCTCAAATATAGCCTCAAGTGAAAATGGCCTCTCATGGGTATAGTTGCATATCTTATATATAAAAATGGAGCTCTCGATTAAATGATTCGGTGAAACTCCGATTTGGCCAGTCAAAATCGCGTAGAAACTTTACATTTTTAATTTGAAAATTTTTGTAGAAGCGTAATTTGAATAAAACAATGAACGGTGGCTAATACGTGAAATGTCAAACGTTTTTGACAGATGATGTTCAATTACGTTTAATAAGATGTTTTACGAGAATATTATTTAATTATGATTAAATTGTAGTAAGTAAATTTGTTTGTAGTTTTATTTATATACAAAAACGTTAGTAAACGGGCCGCAAGTGTTACTAGAGACTCAAAATATTAACTTTTTCGAAATGTTAATATGAAAATGCACTTTTTGGCATATTTTTCTCAAACACGGTGTTCTGAAAGATTTCATTTGTATAATTATATACTCATTGGTATTTATAAAACATTTTCTAGGTTATATTATTTTTTATTTATATTATTTAAATTCAGAACCTAAATTTAGTATCGATCAAATGGACATTTTGTCGAATAACATTTCCCCAGTTATAATTTCCCAGAATTTATTGAAGAATAGATAGTAATATATGAAGGTCTGGGGTTAAAAAGGTCCACCGCCGATGTGTCAAAAATCAGTAAAGTTAAGCATTGTCCAACAGCAATATTTGAAAGTTGAGGGAAAAAGATGTATAACTAGCTATAATCTTGATTTGAGAACGGTAATCTTTTAAATGGGGGAGATAAACGGTAATCTTTGAAAATCCATAATAAAAGTATTATCTTTCGTTGATAGTTTTTTAGCATTAGTTAAAAATGTAATTATTTTGTAAAATACCTTTAAAATTATAATAAGGCTTTAAACCTTTTTGCCACCTGCCCGTTTCAAGTTACCCCACCTGTAGGGTAAAAAGGTCTAGATAACAAATTTTTGAAAGACATCAAAAAATCACATTTCTACAATGATGAAGTAGAAGGCAGTTTACTAAACGTAGTCAGATAATTGTTTGTTTGATATGAGTTATTTGTTGTGATATAATTGTTATGATTTTCACAATATAGTTTATATTTGCTCAAATTCGAATTGGACCTTTGTGTCTCGCCCTGCTCTACATATATACTTTTTATTAAAATTACTTTAATTCTTTAAATGTTACTTGAAACTTTACAAAAAGCAGGTCAAAGAAAGAATACTTAATTCATTTTCTATCTCTCCTCGCAAAAATTTAAAAATTTTGTATAAGCTCAGTAGTGTTATTTACAATTATACATAAAATTTAGAATCCAAAAAGAATCTGAAAAACTTGAAACCTAATCAATAAGTCGAAAGACCAAAAAAGACTTTGATGGATTATACTATGTTTTCTATAGAAAGTGTATAAATCTTCCAGTTTGATTATATTGACAAAATATAGACAAACTAATGGGGTTTATTGTTTTTATAATACTTCATTGTATATAGCATTCAAACAACACATCCTTATACACAAATATTAATATTTTTGATTTTCTAGAAATTGTTTAGAATATATCTTACTTAGCATAACAACGTTTGCCGGGTCTGCTAGTATATAATAAAAATGTAGCGAATACTTTGTGTATAGTTAAGTCATAATTGGATTGGACAACTACTGGGTTGCCATCCGCGCAAAATTTATATAATAAAGTAAAAACAATTACCGTATGTCCTAAGTGTGACAGATTGTATTTTTTTCTAAATGTTGCAATTCTATCATTATTATTAATAGTTGGAATTATTGTTTTCAGAGGTGTTCAACGTCAACAAACCATAAATCGTGCGCCTCCAAAACGAAGAGAATCTAGTGCCGACTCTGGTATCAAATCTTTGACCTCTCGTTCTCGAAGGGACTCCAGGGCTTCTGATTTTAAATCAGATTTGGCCAGGTTGTGGTCCAGAGGAAAATCTGGAGATGACGATAAGGTAATACAGATATTATAAATGTTCAAGTTAATAAAATTGAATTGGGAATATTACTACATATTCTCTAGTTTGGACAGTGTTTTTTCTATTAACATATATTCAAAACAAGGATATATAAGACAAATTGTAAAATTAAACTAGTATCTGACGAAATCTGACGTCATACGTTGTAAGAATTCTGTTTATTGAAACCAGTCTATTTTTTATGATTAATTCTAATGTTATATTTTTTTTATTAGGATACTAGTACATCAGGTGTCGGTTCGATGACTGGCAGTGGCCTTGGTGGTAGCAAAGATCGAGAGACTCCTCCTTTGGGTCCTACTTTTGCACAAGTGCCACAAGGACCTCAAGGTCCTCCACCTCCTAGGGTTGTGTCTGCCAGAAGAAAAAGAAGGGACTCGAGAGCTGCTCTGGATGTACCGCCAAATTTTAGGTAATTGATTAGTTAATTAGATCTGTATGTATGCTTCTTTAAAGTTGAACTTCGAATTAAGACAGATAGTGTCACAGAAAATTATACAAAGTCTTGATACTTTAGTATTATATTTTGTTCATGATATATTTTTTTTCTATTTCTAGACAAGAACAGCGTCCGTCCACCTCGTCGACTGCCACAACTGCAAGTGATTCTTTAGGGCCTCCGGATGGAACACCTTCTGGTTTGGCCCTGCCGCCTCCTACCATTGTTATGAGCAGTGTCACACCGCCATCTACATCGCCAACTGCACCTCCAAGTGTTGGAACTACTGGTAATATTCCTAAAAACCACACTTCGGGACCCATTCTGCTGCATAACAGACAAATGTTATGGCAAGGCCATGTTACGATCCAAGTTCCATACATTATGGTACTGAATCATACTGAATACTGTCAAAATGTCATGTACTTGCTGTGCATTCAGGTATGTTGCACATAAACTGCAACGTCACGTGTGTGTTATAAAGCCGAGTTAGAATGACCCTGTTATCTACCATCGTTTTTTTGTCATTTATGCAGTTTCTAGGTTAAGTTTTCTATTTGAAAACTTGAGAAATACGCCTGACTGCACAGCAAAACTATGGCTTATGTTAATATTTAGAACGAATTTGTTTGGAAAGTTCTTCATAACATAGCCTTGCCATAACATTTATCTGTTATGCGGTAAAATCGGTTCCTACATGTCATAACTTACAGAAAATATTCTGATATTAATTTATATGATATTTGTTTTCATCACATTTAAATTTTTGTTCATGTTCTATTGTTTTCAATATAATTAATATTGACTAAATTTAAAGTAATAGTTATGTTTAATGTATTAAAGTTCAAATAATTCTTTTGGTATCTTCGTAAGTGCTGGTAGGTATTCATGTAAGATTTTATACATCGTGCTTTGTAGAGTAAATGAAACCTAAGAAACCTAAGAAACAAACAAAATCTTGATTAGCATTACAATGACTTCTTCCATATTTATATAACAAAGAAGAACAAGCAAAAACAATGTTATGGCAAGGCCATGTTACGCTCCAACTTGCATATATTAAGCTGCTGAATCATACGTCAAAATGTCATGTATTTGCTGTTCATTCAAGGGGTTTTACACATAAACCTGCAACGTCACTTGTATGTTATGAAGCTGGGTCAGAAAGACTCTGTTATCTAAGATAGTTTTTTTTTGACATTTGTGCGGTTATGGGTTAAGTTTTATATCTGACAACCTGAGAAATATGCCTGGCTGAATAGCAACCACATGGCTTCTGTTAATATTTAGTATGGAAAGTTCATCATAACATAGCCTTGCCATAACATTGGTCTGTTGAGCAGCAGAATCGGTTCATAAGTATATTTTTTGTAATTCCATACATACCCAGTACTCTTACTTTTTAGTTAATAAGTTGACGTGACTAAATAATTATTCAACAAGTTTTAAATGGTGTTACTTCTAAGATAGTTTTCTAGGTTAGTAATTAGGTTTTAAGCTATATTAGTGAAAAAATTGTAATTTTTCTTATAAAGGTCGCCGTGATTCTACAACTCAATGTGATGGACCTAGAACTGCAAATTCTTCAAGAAGAGAATCCAGGGTTTCTCCTGATAGACCTGCAAGAATGCAGAGGCTTCAAAGACAGGTACAAGTTTGAATAAATTTTACGTTAAATTTTGTTTAAAAATTTGTTTAATTATCGAAAATAATTTTATTTATAAATTATATAACCAAATGAACACTAGTTCAATACATTGAATCCACAATAAATAACCGGATTATGACTAAAAAATTCTACTCGAATTTTTGTCTTCGGAGATATTTCTATTATTTATATTATTTAAAAATGTTATGAATTATTGGATTTTTAATTTGCTATGCATTTTACTTTAAGATATATTCTGAAATATTGGAAATGTGAGAATGTGATACAATTGAATTTTAGCAATAAGTTTTAAATCACATTTAACATTGTTTTCTACTTCATTTAGCAATATATATTTAGATCAAATTTTTCGCTTATATAAAATTTTACCCCAAATGTAAGTTGTACTTCACAAACGTAACAAAGTTATAAAATATATATGATAAAAAATTTATAAAATATATTATATTAAAAACGAATAAATAAAATTCTACATTTTGCTTCATACGATGAAAATATGTTCATATAATCTGATCTATTAAAATTATTCTGAATATACTTTTAATTTTCAACTTCTACGTATCAAGACAATATTTTGGTTTTCTCGAATCCATGTCATTTTTTATTTTTTGGCTTGAACCTAAGATGAATATTTTTTAATTATCATTTTTAATATTTTTAGAAACATGATTCAACATCGTGCCAAAATTCAAGATAGCAAAAAACTGTTTATTTTGATAGCAAAAAACATTGGAAAATTATGACTCCCAGGGATAAACTTAGTTGCTTTTTTATAATCATATATCGTTGCCTTTATTTTTTTACCAAACCAAAACTCACAAATATTATTTTGCAAGTCTTCCGTAACTAACAAAATCCAACAGACCCGTGAAATAGGTCTACTAGAAAAACCCGTAGGTTGCGTTTAAATGTACTTTTTAAAGTAATATATCATTAAAACGGTGACTCTGAGCAAAAAAAGTATGGATTCATTTTTCATAGATAATTTTATTCTTTACAATATTGTCACAGATAATTTTGCGATGGAACTGACCATTTAACTAAAAATCGCAAAAGGGTCATTTTTTACCTTTGACCTTGTGCCATTTTTTTTGCTCGCATCGGATTGATGAGGGCTTTTCAGATTTCTTCTATAATTGTATTTCAAACAATTTTGCCAAGTTGCAGCCCATTATGAATTATTGTAACCTTAAATGCTTAAATTGATCGGGCTAATAATTATCTTAATTTCTTGAAATCATTTGACCTCAGTCTAATCTTCACCTTGTTTACATTATTGCAGGCCACTGCTTATGATGAAAGTTGCTTGCCTCCAGGTGTTTGGACTGGCGGTGCCAGCAGACGTGGCTCAAATTCCCCAGAAAACAACATCAACAATAACAACATAAACATAAACAATTTGAGTTGCGAAGACGATACAGGAGAAAGAAAACATACGCCCAGGAGGGATAGTTTGAGCCCGGACAGTGCTGGAGTTACGGTATATATATATATATATATATATATATATATATATATATATATATAATTAATAAACTTAAATTTAACAATACAATTATGTAACACAGTTGGAACTTGAAATAAAAAAACATCTTTGCTTCTATAATATAGTGACTTATTGAATAAAACATCATGATACTGTAATGTTCCCTATTAATAATTCATAAGTGTCTTGATGGTAAAAAATTCTTGAAATATCTTCAAAATTAACCCTTTCCACTCGGCTGTTTTCCCATGAGAACAACGTGAGTCTGTCGGAGCTCTCGTATGTCTACTCTGAAATGTTGCTTTATAAATACGTCTTTATTTATAAAGCAAAATTTTATTTATTTTATCTAAGTTTTTTAATTTTGTTTTTGTTAGTTAAATATTGTTGAAACAAAAATTATTTTATGAATATATAAAAATAAATCACTGTTTTGCTTCTGAATCAAAAAAGACTACAAATCGTTACAAAAAATAATTAGTGGGCTTTTTAATTTGAAAATATTTGCAATGTGACAGCACATTTCAATTTACCAAAAAGTATATAATATGTGTATATAATATTGTTATAAATTGTTATGAATAAATCTAAAAAGTGATTATAAATCATTACGTAATTTTTAATCTAATGAATATATACATATAGCTTACTATATTTTAAATTATATTTTTTAATATATTCAATACAGTACATAGTTTATATCAAAATTATTAATTTCAAAGGAAAATAATGAACTAAATATTTAATATTAGATTTATATATTAAAGAACTTTAACTTAACGGATAATAAGAAACTTTTAGGTAAATTTCACATAAATTGATTATTAATATTTGGATCTTCCAGAATATCAAAAAACTTAGCTTATATTTCAAAGCAAAGTGTCATTGATCCCTATAATATAATAATAGTGAATTGATAAACTAAAAAAATTACACTTTTTCTATTGAAAAACAATGATTAAATAAGAATTTTTTCTAATATTTTAATATTATATTTTGTTTCTCTTTAAGAACATGTGAAGTTTATCATATTGTCTTACATAAAAAAATAACTCATAAAAACTCCAATATTTACTTAATGTAATTATTGAATAAAAGAATTTCTTTTGCAACAAATTGACGAATGTATTTAGACATTTTAGATAAAGCAAGTTTAAATCGAGTTAGAGTGAATTACTCTTTCGTGAATTTATGTTTTTTTATTAATAAACGGTTAAAAAATTACTTTTAATTCAAAATAAAATGTCGTTCAATTAAGTCGTCCAAATATCGTATCTATTTTACAAGTCACAAATCAATTCAATTTTTCGTGGGTTTGAAGTACCAAATTGCTCTGAACTAAATATCTTTAAATTATTATTAATATTCAACAAAAGTATTGTTTGTTTACAAATTTTATATAAAAGTGTTTAACTATTTTTTATTTATTTTACAGGCACGATCACGAAGAGATTCTAGAGCTTCACGATTAAGTCCTGATCGAGAAATGGATTTGCCTGGATCTTCCAGAAGACATAGTAGACGACTGAGAAGGTAAAATTTAATTTACTAAACTTTATTGAAAAAATTGTAAATTTTATCTATTTGCCAGTTCTATTTAATATTTACAACGTTACCAAATTAAATTATAATTGTAAATAAAAATACTACATTAACAAAATATCGGTTTTATCAGTATCAGGAGAACCTTACTTTTCGAACAGGTAATACTTGACAATATCAATTAAGAACTACCTCATTGAATTACGAATTTAGTATTTATTAAATTGTTATATCCAACAAATGGATCAAAATTGTGATGATTTTAACAAAATTTACGAGGCTAAAACAATCCTGTAGATTTAGATAGATAATATATGTGACTTTTTTTTTGCTTTTCCTGCATAAGTTCTTCTGCATTTTTGGTACAACCAATATTGGTTATAACAATTTGAGGCCTGACAAAATTTCTATAAATTTTAACAGATAATGCATCAGAAGCTTTCTATTCTTTTTTGCTCTCTTCCCGTAAGTCCTTCTGCATATTGGTTCATTCATTCAGTTCTTTTAATTTTTCTTATATGGTGTGGTTCAAAATACAGTTTTTTTATTTTAATAATAACATCTAGTCAAGGTTATTCCCTCTTAATTTTGCAGTATTTCTTCATTTATAACTCCATCAGTCCACCTTATCTTCCATATATGTCCAATTTTAATATTAAACGTAATCATTACCATATATTATTATATAAATTTTTAACTACTTAATTACTTAAAATATTTCATATTTCTAGACAAAGTAGTACAGCAGTAACAGGCGGTTTATCCAACCACCACCATCACCAACGAAGTCCAGACTCCAGCAGCTGCGCCTCTTCCCGAGATCCAAGTCCTGCAGGTGGTGGAGGCACCACAATATTGAGTGGTGGTCCCCTGGTGGACGCACCACCAGGATCTCGTCCTGCAATCAGGAGACAATCGACGACCGAAGAGATATTGATAGCGAGAGGATTCAGAAGACAGTCGACTACTGAGGAGATGATCAGGTGCAGGAATTTTAGGAGGCAGAGCTCGCAGAGTGATGATACATCGAGGTAAAAAAAAATAATTTTGTAGATATATGGATGAGATTTTTTTGCAAAGTTTAAAGGCTGCGTTTTTGCGTTGAGCATGAATTTGAAGTCAAAATTGAAAGTCTGATGGATAAAATTGGAGAAGATTAGACTGCGACAAAATCTTCGATTTAGAAGTTTTTTTGATTGACAATTAAAATGTTATAATTTCTGTCGTTTCCTGGTTTTTTAAGGGGCACAACTAGTGTGAAGTTTTCAAAAAATCGAATTTTCAATTTTTTCATATTTCGATGGATTATACCTTTAAAAATAACATACCAAAATTTTAAATCGTTATCTTAAATAGTTTTTCAGTTATTTAAAGAGTATATATTGTATATAATATAACAATCATTTAATTTTAACGCGTTTTTCTCGAAACAGCATTTTTCGAATTTGCTGCAGCGATTACTCAAAAACAAATGATCCGATCACTATCAAATTTTTTTTTACATGTTCTATATATAGTACTCCATAAAATGAACTATCGATTTTTTGATCGGATCAAAAATCGAATTTTGGCAGACCAAATTTTCTGGTAAAATTCGACTTATTTTTTAAAAATGCCGTCATTTTGTCAATTTTTGATTTGTTTTCTTTATCGTAGTTCATTTTACAGACAATATTATGTAGTTTAACAAGAATTTTTTATTTTAATTTTATCCACGTAGAAGGCCGGAATCACTGCAGCAGTGAAGGGCCTTCTTTTTGTCGCGCCGTTGAAGATCGACGATAAGTTTAAAAATATTAAATTTTTTTCTTCAAACATTTTACTATGTATTCTCAAAACATGTGTAAATATATTCCTAAAATTTTGAAATGATTGATAACGTAGTTTTTTAATATAAATTCTCAAAAATCACATTTTTTTAGGCGTTTACACTAGTCGTGCCCCTTAAGCCTTAAATGGCATGTGTGTACTAGATTTCTGCAGAAATTTTTCTTTGATATTGAGCACATTCTTATATTTTTCATCTGTAATTTGCAAACCTATTTACTTCTTATTGCTCCTAGATGATCTGCAAACATGTTTGCAGTTATTTCAAAATTTGTTAGCAAATTTTTGCTGAAAGTTGCAAAAAAATACGAAAAATCTAATAAATTTTAATCGCATATATCTAAAAAAAATTTTAAGTAAATAAATTAATCTAAATTATATTTAAGTAGATATAAATTTTATCTCTTTCTTATTATTACAGATATCGTGGCCGAAGAGATTCTTGTGCCCAAATAACAGATGGTACTTTTGAAACAATGACTGTGGAAACCACATCTACATTTTTTGATTCGAGTACACAAACCGGTGAGTGAATTTTGATTTTGCACGGTAATAAATATTTTTTCCGGTACATATTTTATATTTGTGATTAAATTAAGACATTATGAACACATATACTTGGTCAATTTTTAAGAAATGTGGATTATTCGGTTTTAAACTGGTCGTTGCAAAACCAGTTATCGTTTCTCTAAAGGTCATCAGTAAATTTAATATTTTTATGTGATGTATTTTTTCTTGTTCCAATTATTTTAATTATTTTATAATTTCCAACAGAAAAAAGAACTTGGTCTGATAGTGAGTCAGCAATAATATTCGCAAAACGAATATTTGTTCAAAATAATAGAGAAAAATAAATATTTTATAGTATCTTTCTTAAGAAAGTCTGTAAAAAACTGAAAAAGTTTAATTGAAATTAATTAGCATTTTTTAACTATGTGGGAGGAAACTATATGGCAAACTTGTTGATGAAATCATAAAACTAGATCAAAAAAATAATGAGAAATGTTATTTTGTTGGATCGAATCGTATAAGTCTAAACCCTTCTTCAAATTTAATATAAGTTTATGAAGTCGATGTAGGCGTTGAGGATGAATTCCTTGACTTCCCACACGTTAAGAAGAAATATGTATGTATATATATATATATATATATATATATATATCGTAAAGAACCTGCCTGAACCTAACATTTTGAAAAGGCGGTTTAGTAAACTTGTATTGAATGGTTGTGAATGTTGACAGTTAACAAAAAAGTTCATACAATTATTTCCTAAATTGATTTTCAACATTATTAAATTATAATTTTGTGAAATCAAGCAGCATATCATGATTTAAAATTTGTTAAATTATTGTTTATTATTCAAATATTTTTATTATCATTGTTCCTATGACTGAGAATTGAAATAGAGTTTCATAGAGTATATATATTAGATTTACAAAACTATCAAATTTTTTTTTAAATTTATAACTACCGGTGTAATTTTTTGACTCTAAATTGAGGTTTATCAAAATGCACACGTTGAGCAAAAATGATAATTCAAATCAATTTCGAAGCTTTAATTTTCTTTGCTTTAATTATATGCGAGTTGTTTTAAAACATTTAAAGTTTATGCATTGTGTTTTTTTTTAATTTATTAATTTCGACTACAAACAGTTTTATAATATCTTATTACAATATATTTACATTTTTTCTAAATGACTTAGTAATTCAAATATAATTTCTATTTGATGTTAAACTGTTTCTGGTTGGTATCATTTATGATTTATGATCATTTGGACTTTGTATCTTAATAAACACTGCGAAAATAAAATGTGAATCATAACTCAATTTATATCAAAGTTTATAAAAACTAACAACTATCATTTCTGATTTTTTTTTTCTTAAAATTAATTTGTCAACATTAATTAAAATTTCTAAGTTTTTAATATTTCAAACAAAAACTAAGATTTATAATATTGTCGTTAAAGCTGGATATAATTGCACACGAGCCAAAAAAAAAATTGGTTCAGTAGTTTAGGAGACCATTCCGGACTACTTTGTTATACGTGCTTTATATGCAGGGTGTCTCAGAATTCAACGTCAAATCGAGAAAGGATGATAGTATTGATCTTAGATATCTTGAAAAAATTAAAAAAAATGTCTCACGTTAATTTCAAATTATAAGCTTTTTAGTGCAATATGTTTAGTATGTGTGTGTGTGTGCGCGCGGATACAAATTTTCGTCGATGATGAAAAAACGCCATTTGGCGGTCAAAAATGATCATTAGACATATGTACATCAAATTTTTAAAAATGTTCAAAATATTACAAAATGTAAAAAAAAATCTTTTTATTTAAAAAAAAATCAATATTTTTAAAAAACTTCAAAATTCTTAAAAATCAAATATTTTTTAAGTTTGAAAAAAAATTTAGGTTTTGGTACGGAAAGTTCTAGCAATTTGCCTTAAGGCACGATGCCATGAACTACTAGTTATAATTAGGAATTAACTGGGAATTTTACTAAATATAGTATGATAATTGTTCATTTCATAGGTATTATATGTTGTGATATAGTTTATTTGGTTTAGACAGTATAATCGCTAAAAGTCAAATTGAACATTTGTGACCCGCCCTATAATATAATGCAAATATACAATAGTTTTTAGTACTCTTCAAATTTACAAACCTTCACCAAACCCACCAACCTCACCACTTACCCTTACTTGTCTCCACCGTTCGATGGCGCCTGCAATTCTCCACCCTATCCCGGTTTTCTTTCCCTGGATCTCCTTTATTTTTGTTTCATCCCTTACTCTCGCCCTACAAATGGCGTACGGCCATGCGTACACGCGCCCAGCCGAACGTGTCTGTCCGTCTGTCATGCCAAACTGTTGCGGGGGCGTTGCTTCCATTCATTCACAAGAATCGAACTGAGGAGTTGAATTGTGATAAAAAAATAAAATATAGTTGATGAATTGAATACTGTATAGTTGAATTAAATTTTAGTGAAAATTTTTCGATGGTTTATTTTGTGCTTTTCGAGGGTTGTTCGCGAATTATGTCGCGGGGTTGTATTATGTGATGTTTTGGTGGCGAAAAAGAGATGGAAAAGGAAAATTGTTTTTTGACATTCGTAGTGGATTTGTAGTACGTGAGGTATTGTGACATTTGGTTGGTGAAGGTTTTGTGAACGAATTGTAGTTTGTTTTTGCAAGATTTTGCCAAACTTGAAATTCTGTGTAAAATTGAACGAAAACGTAGAGGTTATGATAATATATATGATCCTCTTTAACATTCGTGTGTGATTGACTTTAAAATTGACAACATTTGGATAAACACAAAAGTTTGCAGTGTTAATAAAATGACATGAAAGACAATATTTTATTACCATTAGTTTCCATAGTTTAGGTTACCTTAATTTTTGTGAATGAAACGTATATCAATCGACCAAATACATTGTGTTACTTTTACTAATTCAAAATTCTATAACTACAGTGTCTAAATTTAGAATGGAGTAATTTTTAAACGTATAGCATAGACTTTAGTTAAAATAAAAAAGTGTTTTTTGTAGAATGTTGTTCTAAATTTGGTGCTATTTAAATTTTCATTATAATTAATGGTGTAATATCCCAGGTAAATTTGATGTTACTAATAAAGTATCAAAATGTATTTGCAACATTTGAAGTATAAAGGAAGTTTTTAAGAACTATATTGGGTAAATTTTGTGAACGGAATATTTAGTTCATTTCCTAAATATATAAAGGTAGTGAATTTTTTGTATTGAATATCGAACATTATAAAATATTAGGACGTATTTCCAATGCGCAAAGTAAATAAAATATTTATGAACATAAAAATAGTGAACATCTTGTATTGAATATAACAGTATAAATTATAAGAACGTATTTCCAACATCCAAAGTAAAAACAAGAACAATATTCGCTAACATCCGTATATACAAAATGTTTTATCATTTTCAAAATAGTAAAAAATGCATTGAATATAGCAACAATGTTTATTAAATTATTTTAATTTTCTAAATTAAATTTTGCAATAAAACATAGTACGTTTTTTATTCGAAATTTCTGTTTCAAATTGAATTAAGAATTTAAGTAAATATTTTATTTCTATGTAAGAAAATTATTATTGATAGAAATATATAAATTCATTAATTCGAATGAAACAACGTTATTTAAAAATACGGGAATTCTCTGCCAAATTCTGCTATATTCGTTTCTAGTTTACTTCAAATTCGCTTGAATTTTAAGTAACTATTCTGTTTTCATTTGAGAAAGATATTATTAATAGTAATATAAAATTTGGTGATTCGAATAATAGAATATTATTCGACTAATATCATTAGTCAAAAATATGGCAATCCACTTCGGTTAATTCTTTATCAAATTTTACTATATTTGTTCCTAGTTTAATTAAAATTATAAAAATACAAAGAATTCTATTCAATATGGAAATATCTTTGAAATTTGAAAAGTATTTACAAAACAAAAAATATTGCAAACAATAGTATGAGTTTTTACACTGGATAATTTACACATATTGATAAATATAATAAATTAATATTAATTATAAACAATTTAGCCAATAGCATTGGCGTCTTGGTAAATTCATGTAAACTTTGGCTAATTTTTTTCAAATAATTTGAAATCAAATCAAATATAAAATCAAGTGTTGATAAAATTACAAAACACAATATATTCATTGTTTTTATAAAACTCAATTTTTTATTTGAATAATTAATACTAAACCTTAAAAAAGTATATTGAGCTCAAGATTAAATTGAATCTCAATTAATATTATATTTGAGAAAAGCAACTATAACACGATAATTTAAATAGTGCTTTGAATAACTTTCTAGGAACACTTGAAATAATATTTTAAAAAATTATTATATTTTATAAAATATATTAATCTCTAAAAACTATTAAAATCTTTTATGTGAACTACTACCACCCAATCTGTTTTTGTTAAAATCAATCATTCAATCATCAAATAAAATAATCGATCATTATTTAAAAAAATCTAATTTTCTATGCGTAACTTACATAAGGTAAAAAAAATGTTTTTTATGACAATATTAGTAAAAAGTGGTGAGGTTGATTCTGTGTCAAATTTTTTATAAATGGATAAAACAATACTTTACTAAATCGGTGAAAATTGATATTTGATTCCATAAAAGGACTCGTATAAAATTGTTTTGTGTGGTGTTTTCTGATTCTGGAGAATTTTTATTTTGTGTCCATAAGAAATGATCGATTAGTGAAACGTGCGTGATGTCCTGTTTTGACAGCAGAGGGTAGTGAACTGTCAACGGTGGAGAGAAGAGAATTTTGAGGCTATGAAATCGGACAGCGTGAACGGGACGCCCTTTAGGGTAGATATTTTCTCTTAATTATTTAATAATATTTTATACATTTATTAGACAAGAATTGATAATTATATTATTAATTTTTGTAAGAAAATATAGCAAAGATCTTAACTATTAGATACATTTTTTTGTCAATAGTGTATTTTGATCCACATTTTATAGTAATAG